CAGCTTGAGAAAGTAGTTTACGTCTGATACCCTGGAAGGGGTCGAGGGGCTGCAGGTGGGCATAACTCATTTTTCCCTCAATCTCAGAAGGCTTCAGACAACTTGTAGAACTTATGACTGGTCCCTTCACGTGGCGCAAACACCTGGCTATGGACAAGTGTACATGACAACTCCATTTGCCCATCCTGCCTTGAAGAGAATGATACGGTGGAACACTTTTTCCGCTACTTCCCCTACTTTGCAAGAACGAACCCCTTAGCTCTCTGACACTCAAAAATCTGCTTCGATTTATTCATAAATCGTGCAGTTTTAAAAGAGGTTAAAAGGGATATGAAAACAGTACAGTGAGTGCTGTTGTCTGCACGAGAACACCAGCATCTAAATATCCATAAAACAACTTGGGTATTCCCTGATTAAAAGGCCAAGAACCAAATTGATCACGTTGTGGTAAAAGTTGTGATACGCCTCAAGCGTTCTTGGGTGCGTTCCATCTGAGAAGCCAAGTCTGTCCGCATGCGCCTGTGTAAGATAAAGAACATGCGTCCACCTGCGCAACGTCGGAGAATTGCAGTCGCAACGGCCAATCGAGAACTTTCAAAATCCACTCACAACTCTGTTACAGGCAACTTTGCAGGGACTCCATATGTATATGCATTTGTTTATCTGGTCCGATATTCTTAGTTCTGGGGGTTGGCTGAAAAAAACATGTTGTTCCACCCTAATGTATGTACATGCGTTGCGAATTCAAAAATATTTGCTACGATCAACGTAAATGCATATGTATCTCATTATTTTTAACTTCTTTTTTATGTCTCATGCAGAAAGCATAATAAAACAATTAAGAAGAAGCACACGATCTAACTCAATATTTTTTTAACAATACATAAAATAATCTTTTAATTAAAATTCATCGCCCATAATGTATAGCTTAATACATATTTACAGTCGTATCATAAAATGTGTAAAACTCATAAATTTTATTGACATTTTTGCCTCGAGACATAGACAATACCCACTATGATTTCTAATAATACATATATATATGTGTATGTACAGATGTGTACGTTTGTATTTAATAATTCATTCCATAATTCTTGTTTTAAAATTAGTAATTTATGTACGCATCTTCTAATCGCTTAAATGCCTTGCAAATCAAGCATTCCCTGTAAATTTACGGTCTTGAAAATCATGTATGTATGTATGTACATACGATGTAGGCCGCTAGGCAGTGCAAATTTTTAATAGTTTCCACCTCACTTTTCATCTGCGGAGGATAACAACTTCCATGACTATTCCCCATGACTAGCGCTCAGAGATGGCCGCCTTCGCATGAATGACTTTGTGTAGTACAGGGTGGCGCCGAATGAGCTATATGGTTTAAATGGTTTATAACTTTTTTATTTATGCGACTATTATATATATTTTTTTTAAATACAGTATATTATTGGGGAATTTTTTGCAATTAGCTTTGAAAAACGATATCCTGTAAGTGATGTCCATTTTCTGCTTCGCACATACGTGCTCTTCTTAGCAAATCTTTAGGGATGGCAAAGTCGACTTCGACTTTCGACCAAAATCGACTTTTTACTCCTGAAAGTCGAATTTTAGTGATCGACTTTCAGTTAATGGAAGTCGACTGAAGTCGACTTTTCACTTTCGACTGTCGACTTTTTTTTAATTTATTTGCCAATAAAAACTGATCTTCCAACAAGCTCGCGGAGTGCTGTTTGGTCGTATTTAAAAAAAAAGGCAATAAAACTGAAGTCAAATGTGAAAAGTGTGGTAGCGAAATGAATTTTAATGACAGTACAACAGTACAAATCATTTAAGAGCAGCGCATAAAATTATTATACGAAAACAAATTCCTCAAATTTGTTAATCGTTTGTCTCCACAATCTTCAGTTAATAATGATGTAAGATAAACATATTATATTATTATTATATTTATTTTAACAATTTCATGCAAGAAAGTTTTTCTGCTTGAGTTTATGTAAGTTTTTACAGACAGTCTTTGGTTCGAATTTGACCAATCCGTAAGGTACAAAATTTTAAACACCGCTAAAAACGTTGCTGGTAGGATTCCAGTTAATATGCGACATTAGTCGTGGGGATAGTCCCAATCCACTAGCTGTCTGGGCTACTCCCATATTTATCCATGCTTATAAAGTGGCACTTATATTTCTACCAATACCCGCCAATTCTGCTCCATCGGAAAGGCCACATTTTTCAAAAAGTTGTCCGTAATTACCAAATATCGATTCAAAAATTTTTTAGAATTTTTTTTGTGAGAATTTAAAATTTTTTTTCAAAAATTTTCATGCCGTATAAATGGAGCAATTTTCAAAATTTTTAAAAATCCTTTAGTGTCTGTTTTTTTTTTACCTAGCATTGAATTTCACTAAATTACAGATTATTCTAAAGACCAAAAAAAGTCGAACAATGTCGACTTTTCTTCCTGGATCGGTCGACTTTTAAAGTCGACTGTACAGAGTCGATCAAAAAGTCGAAAGTCGACTTTGTAGTGAAGTCGAACAACCCTACAAATTTTTCATATATTTTCGCAGAATTTCGGGTGTAATGGCCATGATTTCATTTCGAATGTTGGTTTGGAGTTGGAGAATGGTTCTTGGTTTGTTAACGTATACTCTTTCTTTCAAATATCCCCAAAGAAAACTGTTAAAAAGAATTCAAACCATATAGCTTATTCGGTTTTTTTGGCCGAAATTACGATTTTTTCAAGGTAAAATGACGATTTTTCAGCAAAAGCATTCGGCAACGCTGCTGGCAGGTCATTTCCAGGCGTGGATCCCGTTGGCATAGAGTAATAAAAACTGTTATAAAGAATTCAAACCATATAGCTCATTCGGCGCCACCCAGTACAAAAAGCATTATAGTGAAGTCGTTCGTATTCGATCATGCGGCCTGATCTGATACACAGCAGCTACAACTGAGGCTGAGTCGCTGAAAAAAGTTTGGGATTTCAAAAAGAAAATACATCTTACCATTAATTTAATTCATGTAAGTTAATAGTAAAAAAAGTAAGTGCGCCTGGCCCACACTGGAGAAGTGAAACTTACATTACATATCTAGCTTACATCTTTGTTTTTATCTTTGCTTTTATCCTTTTCTTCATCTACATATTCTCCTAGATGATGTGAGGTGCGATGACGTGATAAGATGCCATGTGATATAATGTGAAATGACGTGATAGGATGTCAAGTCATGCCATCATGTGATGTTCTATCATATAATGTCACATCATGTGTATCGATAACAAAATCGTTATTAACATCGATAACAAAACAGATAAAGTTATCGATAACAATTTCGAAAAAAATATAGATAGCAAAATCGATAACAATATCGATAACAAAATCGATAAAAATATCGGTATCAAAATCAACAACAAAATTGATTAAAATATCGATATCATAACCGATAAAAGTATCGATAAAAATATCGATACAGAAATCGATAATAATATCGATAGCACAATCGATAGTAAAATCGATAAATATAACGATAAAGAATCTATAAAAATATCGATAACAAAACCGATAAAAATATAACAAAATCGATAAAAATATCGATAAAAAATCAAAACAAAAATATCGATAACAAAACCGATAACAAAACCGATAAAATATCGTGGTTTTGCCGTAAACATTTGAATTTTACTTTTAAAGTTAAGTAATGTGTAAATATTCGCTGCCAACACTTATAAAGAAACGAATCGAGATAGATATATAAATGATCAGAATGAAAAGAGAAATCGATTAAGCGGTGACTGTCTGTCCGTCCGTCCGTCGTCAGCGTCATTCGAGACATCTAAGGGCTTTCATTGGACAATGTTTTTAGGTAGCGCATTCCGAACCCAGCGCATAATCAATTGCTGGAGGCCTTAGAAATAATATTTTTCTTAACAAATATTTCATTTATTTATTTTAACATTAAAACAATGAATTTATTAAACCCAAAAAAGTGTTTGTGTATAATACATACATATATGTATTTTCCTTCCATTTCAGAGGCCAATCGTACATGAACAAATATCGCTTCCTCATTACCGCCGGCATGCTTTACGGCCTGGTCGCTGTGCTCGCAATTCCGTCCATACTACGTTTACTGCAATGTACACGCCAGTCATCCACTTGTGCCACTGCTTTTCGACGCTACGTACGCACAATTCTGCACACATACGCCTGGTACGATTACTCACCAACGGCCGGAGAGAAATCGAAATTTTGGACTAGCCTACGCGCTGTACGCAAAGCGCATTCAAATTCTAGTCGCGCGTGTAACAAACTTGGTGCAGGCCAAATAACACAAAAGGATCTTGCGCTAACACAGTTCGGTTTTATTGGCTTTGCCACTTTGGGTGCGCCACGCGTGCAGCTGTACGATGAGGAATATTTCGAGAGTACGTCACATATGTGGCGTGTGCTCGGCTACTTGCTCGGCATCAAAGATGAATACAATATTTGTGGGCGCAATTGGGCTGAGACCAAATCAAGGCTGGACATTGTGATGCGACGTGTATATGAGCCGGCCTTAGCGAATACCAGCACCGATTTTGAACAAATGACGAAGGCATTAATCGATGGTTTGTGGCCATTGAATACGACACTCACTACCGGATCGGTTCTTTTTTTTACCAAACGACTGGCTTGTGTGCGAGGTTATGAGTACTTTGAATTTGATCATCGTCCCGGTAGCCAGGCTGATGCGAAGAAAAGGCTCTACTATTACGATTTAGGCTGGTATGATCGCTTTCTCATAACATACGGCCTCTACCTAGTGACCTATCTGCACAAATTTGGCATTGTGCGCTGGTATCTCAACTTCCGCATCTGGTTGAATACACTAATCTTTTATTACTTGCCTTACATAGCATTCTGGAAATATGGCATAAAACATTCTTATGTAAGAATTTTCACAAACGATGGCAGAGAGCAGGATTTCGAGTTCCATTTGAAAGCAGATTGAAAAGCGTTACCTGGATTTGATCATTCAATACAAATGCTATGTGCATTTCATTCTAAGTTTTGTATAGAAATAATAAAAAAGCATACATATTTATATATACATGAGTAAATTTTTATGCATGTATGTAGGTACGTTATAAACTAAATAAAAGTCATTACGTTTATTTTTAATAATTTTTTTCGAAAGTTTATAATCTCTCAAGTATGCAAGTGTGAGTATGCCTGTATGCTAAAAATATGTACATATATATATTCTTGCATTTAAATCGGTGTATAAGAAGTCGTGCCATAGCCCAAGCGGTACATTTGCTGATCAATCCAATCACGCGCCGTCGCCACGCTCGCATACGCTGCAGGTATATCATCCTTACAGCCGATACCCCACGACACAATGCCATCCTGCTCGTAACGATTTTCCGCAGGCAACCCAATTGGACAGACTAGTGGTGCACCGCCGTCTCCTTGGCATGTATCGATACCACGCACGCCACCAGCGCAAATAAATGAACGGTCGAGCACGAATTTCTGTCCCAAACGTGTGCCGCGCAAGCGCGTCTGACAGCTGCCAAAGTCCACAATAGGCAAGGGCACGCGCTTCATAATGGTGCTATAACGTCCAGCCTCGCCGAAATCATCCTTACCCCAACCGTTGGCGAAGCACTGCGTATTGGCAAGCGGCGCTGCATTTTGCTGTGGCAGACAGACAACATTGATGTGATCGGCCAAGACAAGTGGTTGACTTAGTACCACCAAAGCGAAATTATTACCAACATTACGTGAATTAAAGTTGGGATGTGTAATGATACTTTGCACACTGCGCTCCTGATAGGGTAGACGCTCTTTGGTGGTCTGTGAGTCCCACTCACCGGCGCGTATCATGAAACTCGAGACCGCTCGTCCAATAACGCAATGCACTGCCGTCAGCACCACTTGCGGGTGTATGAGTGAACCGCCACAGAAGTAGCTATAATTGCCGGCCTGCAGTAGCGCCACAGTCCAAGGGAACTCACCAAAACCAGCCTCGTTATCATAGGCGCCTGTAATGTTGAAATCAATTCCACCAACATTGCGTATGCCACAACCTTTTTGACGCTCAGGCCGTTGTTCTTGTGGTTTGGGCGTGAGGCTGTCGCTACGTCGCCTTTGACTATCGCAACAGACATCGAGGAAGTGTTCGCACACAGGATCGTCGTTGTTGAAGCGTATGTCGATCAAACCGAACCCGTCAAATTCACCATCCTCAACTGATGTGGTTTCAGTGCCCGTGGTGGGATCACACATGTGATATGGTACACAGTTACATGGTCCCCGGCCACTTGTCGAGTTGAATTCGATTTGCGGTTGTGAGGGATC